AAGGATAGTTTGATATCAATTGTTTCTACAAAAACGACTTACAACCGCTGCGCATACAATCATTTTATCACGTTTCTTCGGATGAGCATTTCGAACGACACTTATTCGAAAAGATTTCTTCGCTTCAATAACACCGAATACTGGCCGAAATCTAAAAAAAGCATTGCTGAAAAAGAAGTTTACGATTTTATCTTTACACGCTTGTAAAAGAAAAACATTGCCCCCACTTTAATGAGGACCTACTGCCCGGTGCACTGAACCGCAGCGAGAGGTAGTAGTCAAAGTTAAAACTCTTAGTTCGATGGATGGGAGAAAAATTAAGATTTCTGAGGTCGACATTCGACTAGTTTTAATAATATGCACAATTAAAGTACTCACATAAAATGCTTGCTGTCTGTGCATTGTACTTTGAAGCCAATACGAGCTGGCATTGTACTTGTAATGCAGAGACTCTGGAAATTTTGACTAAGGGATTTAGGATGAAGAGCTGAACATCATAAGAGCTTTCGAGGTGGAACATTGTCCAAGAAACCCCAATTTAGGATACCTGTTTACCGTGGCAGATCCCAATCTGCCACGGTAAACAGGTATCCTAAAGTCAATCTCAGGGTAATGGAGAAGTACCTCTCATGAGCACCACCCAATAAGTTTATCGCCTCAGCGGCATATGAGGAACTTTGGAGTACCCCACTAAAGTCAAGCTACGAGCTTTTCTATAGAATGAGCCAGTTATTTCGTTTTTTTCAATGAACAAACCTCCGTTCCTTTCTTTCTGGCCTTGAATGACAACGCCATAGTGTCGAACTTCAGGCAGGGTGCTGAAAGAGGGGAATTAAGGAAATTCAGAGGTGGGTGGGAGCTGCAGACGATTTTAGTCGATGTCAGGGGATCTGAATCTCATAGTTTTTACCATGAAAATCAAAGAAAGTGAACTCCAGACAAAAAAATTACTTCCTGCCGGAGCACATGGCTCATAGTAGGCTTCAATGTTTTTGCCAGCTTCAACTACCTAGAAAATTGAAATATTAAAGAACTGAAGTAGTTGATTCTCCAAATGTATAGAAGTCAGCGAGATAACGTTGATTTTGAGGCTGTTAAAATGATCGGTTTGCTGTGTTCTTGCTGACTACGTAGCCTCTAGTTTCTGCAAACTTGAAGGGTTGCGCCTGGCTGACCAGGTGGAATTGAAAACTTTC